TTAAAGTCCAACATTTAATCTGATTAAGAATCTGTGGAAAGACTTGAAAAGTGATGTTCCTGAATGGATCTCATTGGAAAGAGGGGTGGATACAAATGCCTTCCACACTTTTTAGATTTTTCTGTATCGTTTCCCCTCCACTTCATAATTATCAACTGCATTGTGTTGGTCTTTGACATACAATCCTACAAAAATGAAAAATGGTGTGAATGCTTTTCCAGTAAACTACGAGTAATTGGAACAATATGGAATATTGTGTTTTGCTGCTTATCCGAGAATCCATCCCAAATAATCTATGGATTCCTCTGTCCGTCTCTCAGGTGATCCTTTTGTCAGAAAGAGAGAAAGCAGATCTGATTAACCGAGTGTCTTTGTGTCTTCCCCCTGCAGGGCCGGAATCGATGATGTGGAGACAGACGTGGTGGAAATCGAGGCGAAGCTGGACAAGGTACGGACCAATGAACTGAAAACGTTTCGTCTTGTGTGAGGATGTTTCTGTCTTTCACATCCTACACATGAGCATGATCGCACACAGAACCTTGTACACAGTACAAACACCAAGAACAAACACCAATTAATGGCACAGAGGAAGCTTTATGTTCCGTAGCATAAAGTGCTGCCTGTAATTAAGATAAAAGATGGTTCCCAAAAGCAATGATGCAACAGTTTCTTTTTTTTTTTTGATCAGTAGTGTTTGTTAAATATAAAATAGGGTAGCATTAAAATATAGTTCCCTAGAAACAACGTATTTGTTTGGGATTGTCTTTGAAGTATGACGTTTTGAGAGTGTTTGTATTGCAAACAACAGCCACATTTTTTTTTTTTTTGTTTTAAGCTGTTAGCACAGACCACAAGCATAGGCAAATCAGAACAGATAGTTATTGCACACCAAAATTCAGGTTCATAATCTAACATTTTAAATTAACTACCCCATAAAGAAAATGGAAGCTCTTTGATGGATTATTCCCCCAGCCGACAGGTCAGGACCGCCCGCTGAACTCTGATCCCTGACTAAGCTCCACTGAAAGATGAAAAAAGGTCAGAGTAGAGAGATTGAAGAGGGTTTGAATCAAGGTGATTTGCTTACTTGTTCAGCCAGACCATGTTGCTGTGCTGCTCTGACGGCACCGATGGGCTTTAGTGGATAACGTTTCCAAGATTCAGAAAATCTGATAATTTCTAAGAAAGTGCTTTGCAATGACCAAAAAGGTGATTAAACTGAGGACTTGCATTGGGATATGTATTGGTTTCCTTATCATAAACAACCACAAATCTCTGAAACTGCTGCAGATTGTCTTTAACAAGGCAAAAAAAAAAAAAAAATCTTTGCACTGCCAATTTAAAAGCTCACTCCTCTGCAGAGATTTTGCATTGCTCTGGCTGTTTTGGTCCTCCAAACACATTTACTGTACATCTAATGACCTTGCTTGCAGGCTGGAGGCTTGGCGCACCACACAATTACATCAGATTCACATATATGTCAATGTGTTTACATACACTGTGTGCCACTGCAGGCCTGGAGGGGTCAGCATGTGTCACGCTCCTTCACATTTTCTGCTGCTTCAGAAAAGCTCTCAGCTCTGCACACGTGAATTTAAATGCTGATTTTTTTTGGACAGTGACTTTCTCTACACAAGGGTGCCCTCTTTACATGTCAGAAACACACACACACACACATTCATCCCAGCAGCTCGTTTTAGCAGCAATCACTCACGCAGCCGGCGTGCATGCATTACTGACGGCAGTGCCAGCCTCCCAGAAAACCACACTCGTATAGCTACAACCTTGGGAACTTCTGCTCTAAATGAGATAATTAAAGGTTTACTGCACACCCTCCATGCGTCAACAGACTCTCTCGTACTCAAATGCTCCGATGCTGCTTTATGCACAGCTGCATCAGTGTGCTGCTAATGACAACTTACCACTCTGGAGCTTATCATGTTACCTCTTAAGTGGGGAGGTGTAGTAGTTGCTTCCTCATGTGGTGTTTAAAAGGGAAGCTACCATCGTGCCTGGTTCTTGTTATATGAAACAAGCTTTTTTTAGGCATCAAAAGTGATGCTCCAGCAGTAAATTACATCGATGTTTGCTTTCCATCTTTCTAATTTGTGTTACATTTGTATGAAGCTTGTCTTCTGGCTCTGCTACTTTGGCTTGCTCTTAAGTGTAGTTACTTGCATATTTTTTTTTTTTTTTTTTTTTTTTTTTCATTTTAATTCTCATCCAAAATAATTTTGAATCAATGTTGCATTTTATTAGAGAGAGACAGAAAATTGGAGTGTATGAAACACAAACCGAAAATGATGAACTCTGCTTTGCTTGGAGTTTACCCCGATTCCAGAAACATTTTTTTTTCATGTATTGCTCATCTAAAAACATGCTGAGGTTGGGCAACACATGGCTCAAGCAGGCGCACCATGCACTGAGGCTGCAGCCCTCAAGGCAGTTGTCCCTGGTTCGATTCCCGGCCCAGGACTATTTGCTGCATCTCAACCCTTTTCTCTCTTCCTTTCCATATACAGTTGAATAAATGCCACTGAAACCTTTTTTTTTTCCAGAAAACACACAGTGGCTTTTATTCTAGTTCCATTATCTAAAAATCTATTTGCTCCCATGATGGCGACAGATCATACAGTATGTCCTAAATGCTCAGCTTTCACGAGACTCCACATAATCTGCCTGATATCCTGCAACCATGAGCTCCCTATCACAGAGCACTACAAATCCGTAATTTAAAAATGGAAGAAGAATAGTTGGCCAAGTCAAATAGGACCAGATTGATTTTTTTTGTTTGTTTGTTTGTTTGTTTTTTTGTTTTTTTGCTGACATGCAAAATGTTTTAGTAGCACAGAGTGGTGACAGCATCATGCTTCCACTTTTCTTTAGCATTGACAGTGAAGCTGGTGATGGAGAGTCCTGTAAGAAAAACGTCTACAGGCTGCAAAAGACTAATATGAGGTTCACCTTCCAGCAGCCCAAAGCACACAGTCAGGGCTTCTCTGAAATAGCTTAGCTCGAAGTGTATTTATGGGTTTTGTCATGGCCCAGTCAAAGTTTAGACTTCAATCCAGTTGAGAATCTGTAGAGACTTAAAAATTGATCTGAGTCTTTCCCACCGATCTGACTGAGCTGAAGCTAATTTGCAGAAAAGAAAAAAACCAAACATGTCATTCTCTGACTTGTAGCTGTAGTAAAATGTAGTTCTGTAGTATTTTTGAATAGGACACTTTTCAGATTTTTTGTTTGTAAAAAAAAAAAAAAAGTCATGTATCAGTTTCTTTCTTGTTCTTTATTTTTTGGTCTGTCGCAAAACTGTGAATGTAAAGTAGCAAAATGTGAAATGCTGGTAGCTGTAATATGACTTTTAAAGACTAATATAAAACAAACTACAAAAGCCTTGTTGGAAACAACAACAAAAAGAAAGAACAATTGATGATCTCGGCATTAGAGTAAAAAAAATAAAGATAAAACATCATGCCCTCGCTGCTTCCTTTGATCAGTATGCCACAAGCTGCATATTGAAAGTCACCAATAAGAATATAAAAACGCATATTTGTTTTATCTTAATTATCGTTTAGAGATTTGTGACTTATGATGCAAGTGTTGATGCTTTGTCATGTCATTTTTGTCTTCTGATCATTTCATCTTTTTTGATCTGTTTAATTCTTGCTTTTATTTAAATATTCTCATTATAATTCCGCCAGTCTTTAGCAGCTCGCAAGCAAAGAGAGCAGTTCTTCTTTCATGTGAGCATCCTCTCATGTGATGAGTGATTCTTCCAGGCCTCGTCTGATTTGCATCATCGCCGTGGCTATTATTACCCTCAGAGCACATTGTTTAAAACATGTGACCGATTAAACGGGCTGCTGTACTGATGCTTTCCTTTTTCTTTCATCATGTTAGCTGGTGAAGCTGTGCAGCGGGATGATCGAGGCCGGCCGGGTCTACGTCAGCGCCAATAAACTCTTTGTGAATGGCATCAGAGATCTGTCCCATCAGTGCAAGAAGGAGGAGATGATATCAGTGAGTACAAGCTGACAAAAAAAATTTAAAAATCTGAGCGTGTTCCCCATCGGACGAGCAGCCATCTATCGCTGGATGTGCATTCCTGAGATTCCCCAACATTATAAATGATTGTAAGGTTGGATAAACAGTTTTGTCCAGACTTGGACGTATCCAGCCGTTCTGGTGATGAAAGAGGTGACCACAGACGGACCCGAATTTTTACGCAAAGCCTGTTGCTTTTTTATTAAAACATTCAGGCTGCTTCTCATGTCAGTGTAAGTGTCCCTTAGGGAGATTAAAAAAAAAAAAAAAACTCGAATCACTGAGTCTTAGCGCCAACTTGTCCAAAGAGCAGATCCTAAAATCTGTCGTGAAAACGGCGTTTGCACAGAAAAGGGAGTATAATCACATTTGTGTGTTGGCAATATTGCAGGAATGCCTTGAAAAGTGTGGAGAAAGCCTCCAGGAGATTGTCAACTATCAAACGGTAAGACAGTTTTACACACACACACACCCACACACACACACGTACACACACAGAAACCCCACACTGTTGTTGCCACAGGCGAGAGGGGGAGGAGAGGTGCCCCCACATGCCCGAATCTTTCCAACATCTTTCTGTAATCCGGCTCCCCTTTAGGGCTCAACACACAGGCATCACACACAATCAAACTTCCCACTTCTTTATAGTTTGTTGGGTCTTGTGTTCATGTTTAACAGAAATCACAGTTTTACTGGCATGACACCAGAGCAGTTCTTCTTTATGACTAAGTGTAATTGGAATCTGATGAGATGAATCAGACCTTGATGTTATGACATTTCAGAAACTCATGTTGGGATCTCAACAGGAACATAAACATGGCTTGCTGCTTCCTTCTTCTTTTAAGCTTGTAAAGACAAAAAAAGCTCACAGTATGGTGGGTCTGATTGTCTTGCGGTGTCAGAGACCAATCTCCTCTTAAGAAAAAAAAAAAAAAACATTTCCCTTATTGTGCAATCAGGAAATCGTTGATGACCAGAAAGCACCAAAAACTCTTTTTGGAGGAATTAGCCAATGTAAATACTGTGACCTTCTACAAAGTCACTAGATAATTACAAAGTAACTGGGAAATTACTTTAAAAAGTTCCTTTAATCATTTCGGTATTAGGATGTTTAAAGTTGCTTCCTGAGGACGTTGGTGCTCTCTCGTTAGTCTTTGTACGACATTATTTGCTAAACAAAGCAGAGGAAAGTTATTTGCATGTATTTGAAGGTTAAAATAATGACACAGCTCAACAGTCGCACAGTTTTACGAGCGAGAAGGTCCTGGGTTCAAACTCCTGCTGGGAGTCTTTCCTGCATAGAGTTTGCATGTTCAATCCACCCATGCATGCGTAGGTAAGCAGCGCTGGTTGGGACTAAAACGTTAAGTGAAGATTGACCTCTAGAAGCCGTGTTGGTACATTCCACCTCTGCCTTGTTGCATGTTCGTGTTGCTGCACTGGAGGCTCTTGTGCTTTTGCTAGACCAGAAACCACAAAACACAGCCCCATCCTTCCCCTCTTCAAACTCCAGTATGGCTCTTCGACCTCACACAAAACTATGCCTCTCTAAATCTGAATGACATTCCAGTCTGGTTGTATCACTTCGTATTTAATCTGTCATTTCCCTTTGTGGTTTCAGTTTTGAGTGGAATTCCCACTTAAAACTCTTGGTTTTGCATGGCACACGAGGGAATAAAGAGCAGATCAAACGGCTGCTCTTTGCTGCATGCTGGTTAAATCAGTAAGAGGGCTTTTCACAAGAGCAATTTCTTACTAAGAGAATACCTTCCAGCTGTGTTCGGAGGGCAGTAAATCACATGCGCAACGTGAAGTACAAAATAAACTGTTGATCCCTTCTTATTTCTCAGTAATTTGTCTCTGTTCCTGTAATCTTTATTCATATCTCTTCTTCTCTGGTTTTTTAAGCATCTTTGACCTTTTCCGATCAAACCGTTGAACTGATCAGGCTGATGAGATCTTCTGTGTTTTTTTTATTTTTATCATAAGTCCAGTTTAACCATCTTTTATGCATTCTGCTGTTCAGGTGTGCACTGTGCTGCCCGGCTGCAGTCTCACGGACCGCTTTCAGAAAACACTGATTTTCTATAGATGGTGTTAGTTTTTAATTGATCCTCTTTCCCCTTAACGACTTTCTCACATTCCTCTTCAGTAAATGTGTCCCAGTCCTCCAGTCTAACACCTCTTCTTCTTCATTAATGGAGTCATGGCAGAGTGAGACTGACGGACAGAGAGACAATAAATCTGTCCTTTGGCTGCTTTTCACTGTTTGTCTCTTTGTACATCTTGCTCCACAAATGTTTAGAAATCCAAAGCCAGGATTGAACAGATGAAGAGACAGGCCATGGTGTTTAAATTTTAGATCGCAGACCTTTTTCCGTAGATCTACATCGTAATCATCATGCTCTCTTGTAAATTGGAGCTGCCCCACCCCCAATTAGCTTCACTGAGTTTCCTTAACACTACAAAGATGTTTACTCTGTTTTGAACTTTTTCATATTGTTGTCATCCCAATATTTGTTTGTTTTTTTTCCACATTTCTCCTAGCTGGAAAATGTTACACATTGATCAATATGTAGGAAGTAACTGCGGATTGGCAGAAGTTGACTTTGGAGGGAAAGTCTGCTTTTTTTTATATTTCCACAAAGAGCTAAAGAGCCCCTGTTTGGAAATGCATGACCTCTCACATCCAGAAACCCGTTTATGTTGGACGACCTGATTCCCTGATGTCACCGGGTAGCTGCGGGGTCATTATGTGGATGGAGGCTTACACATAAACTAAGCCTGTAATCTGCAATGCATATGTCCAGGGTAAATAATGGTTCTCTCCATAGGGTTTAATCCCATCCCAAAAGAATTGATTGTTTATTGCTGTGTGTGATTGTGATGCAATCACAATTTCAGTCAAACCTTGTTCCTAATACGACCATATTGTTTGTCCACCATCACCCGCTGGGTGCTTTATTGCACATGAAACAAATAGCAATGGAGGGAAAATAGTTTTGTTTTTGTCAAGATGGAAAGAAAACAAAAGGGAAAAAAAGAAAACGCGGTGGGAGGAGAAATGGAAATCCTAAGGTTAACAGGAAGGGAAATGTGAGGCCGAAAATCTGTTGATGCAGCAACTGAGTCTGTGCACGTGTGTCCTGCCTCTCCTTCCTCCTCATCCTCACACCCGTGGCATCTTCTGCTCTAAAAGGGTTTCTAGTGCCATCTTGTGGCAAACACCTAGCCACTACAAATTCATGTGCCGTAATCACCAATCTCTACGTAAAGTGAGATATTTACCTGCTGCTGTAATGTGACTCGTTGTGTTTGTGTCTGCGTACAGATTTTGTTTGACCAGGCTCAGAGGTCGATCAAACAGCAGCTTCATACCTTCATTAAGGAGTGAGTAACCCAGCTGTCTCCTTGTGGAGACTCTTTGTTTGAGATCGTTTGAAAATTTCTCACATTTTAACACATTAAAGCCACAAACGTTACACATTTTCCTTGGGATTTTATGTAACATAGCAAGACAAAGAAGTGTCTAATTAGAAAAAAAATAAAAGTTTTTTTAAATTGTATCATGTATTTATTTTTGGTCATTTTAACTTTTCCGTACACACATTTAAAAAAAAAAAACCAAAAAACAAAAGGGGAAAAAAGACAAAACTAATACAGAAATAGATGAACGATATTTAAATTCCTGTCAATGGCGAGAACACGAAATGCAGATTGGATTCCACTACCTCCACGTTTTTATACATACATTTTCAATTCCTCTCTACAATTAGTCCACACATGAATCCTTCTAACTGAAGTACATCTGTTGTACATATTTGTCGTGACCTTTTTCTCTTAAATCTTAGTTTTTCTTTATTTTCAAACCACATCTGCATACGCCTTGCAAGGAGTTTATTGTAATCTTTGTACATAATCAGTGCTGTTCTGAGCTCTACTAAATCATAACATTTTAAAGTATGCAGCCCATGACTCCCAGTTGATTTTATTTGTAAATTCTGAAAACTATACATCATATTTTATTCACTTTACACTGTTAGTAAAGTGCCTCCTGTTTATAATTACGACATGGCAAAGAAAAAAAAAATGGTATTTGCACAAAACATCTGCCAGGTTGTCTGTCTGATAAACACAGTAGAAACCTTACAGCCAGAATAATCAGCTACTCTGCTGTGCATCAAAATAAACATTTTGCACATCAAGCCTTTTTTTTTCTTTATCAATAAAAAATCTTGACTTAATATCTGTACTCTGCACCTGTAAGTGCTTGTCAATCAAAGTCAAATTCCTCATTTGTGCAAACGAACTTGGTCAACAAAGCTATAGTGTCTACAGTTTTAAAGTTGCACTTGGGATGTTTGTGCTGCGTCTGCCTCAGGGACATCCGTAAGTTCAAGGACACCAAGAAGCAGTTTGACCGCGTGCGCGAGGACATGGAGCTGGCTCAGGTGAAGAACGCTCAAGCACCGAGGAACAAGGTGCACGAAGCGGAGGAGGCCACGCAGGCGCTCATCCTCAGCCGCAAAGCCTTCAGGCACCTCGCCCTGGACTATGTGCTGCAGGTGAGACGCTGCAGGTTATGTTTTCAGTATTGTCCAGTAGGGGGCACTCACACACCACGGCTGCTGAGGCTTGTGTGTCTGGCCCAACAAATCAGATCAGATCACCTGTGTTGTTCTCAGATTAGGATCTAAATCTGCTTTTTGTTGCTGCTGTTTTGGTGCAGATTAATGTCCTTCAAGCTAAGAAGAAGTTCGAAATCCTTGATGCAGTAAGTAACTCACACTCTGAGACATTTGCACATGATCAGCGTGTGTCCTTTCTATGGTTTTGAACATCACTTTGTGACTGTTTTGTTTTCTTCCCATGCTTCCTTAAGATGCTGTCCTTCATGCGAGCCCAGTATACTTTGTTCAAGCAAGGCTTCAACATTTTAGATGAGATTGACCCCTACATGAAAAAGTTGGCTGCACAGGTATACAGTAGTCTTATTCACAACTTTCAATGTATTCTGTTGGAACTGTGGTCCAAAGCAGAGCAGTGACTTATTGTGAAGTAGGGAGAAAAGTTATGTGATTTTTTATTTTTTTTTTATTATTTACAAGTAAAAATATGGACAAATATGGACAACTTTGCCTTGTTCTTCCACCTCCAGACTCATGCTTTGCCATGAACATCTTCATGGCAAAGCATGTGGGTGGCATCATGCTTTCTTCTGAGAAATATAGACAAGTTTTGTGTTGGTTTTATACAAACTTCCCCAAATTTCCACATGGTAATTCAGTTACTGTGTGGAAATCTTAAAAAAAAAAAAAAAACATGATTTTTTTTTAAGTTTTAAAAAAAAAGTAAAAAAAGTGGGTTTTTTTTTTTTTTTTTAAATTTGGATTAGAAAGCTGGTGAGTTGATGGGAATCTGAATGCAGCTAAACATCAAGATTCAGTCTGTCCAGCAGGACAACAATCACAAACATACAGCCAGATCTGCAGAGGAATCACATGGACAAATATCTATACACATGTATGCATGGCCTAGTCAAAGTCCTGATCTAATTAAAACTTAAGTGAACTACCACACTTTTCGCATGTGTTTATTGCTGAACGTGTCGAAAACCCATCACACTTCTCCTCCCCATTTACAGTTGCGTACTAATTGTGTTTGTTCGTCACTTGGAGTCCAAATAAAGCATAGCTGCCTTTGTTTTGGTAAATCTTTGGTTAAACTAATACTTAGTATCTATAGATAAAAGTGGCAAATTTAAAAAAATAATAATAATCCGTCTGACGGCTTCTGCTTTATGTTTCAGTTGGACCAGCTGGTGATCGACTCTGCCATGGAGAAGAGGGAGCTGGAGCACAAACACGCTCTCATCCAGCAGAGGGTGAGAAAACAACACCGCTCTCGTTTTCTAGCTCATGCCCTGACATCTTTTTAGCATCACATTTTTTTTCTCCTCCAAACATCTGAAGTGAAACAGAAACATCTCCAGCAATTTTATTTTATTTATTTATTTATTTTTTTTGCATATTCTCAGTTAGCAATCTGGGGGCTTAGATTTGTTGCTTTACCAGCGGTTTCACTCGCAAAGTTAGTTCTTTGTTGGTTTTATCTGATGGTTTTTTTTAAAAAAAACTTTCCTTATTCTTTCTAAGCTTGTCGGTCAGCGATGCATACAAGTTTTCAAAGCAAACTTGAATAGATAACAAAAGACTTATCTTCAATTGGCATGAAAGTTTTTGTTTAGCCTTCCAGAGAAGCTCACGTGTGTGTTTTTTTTTTATCATCTATTATGTGTTTTCTTTCTGATTTCAGTGAACCATTGAAAGGAATGCAGGATATTTTTTTTACCTTCGAAGTTCAAAGTAAAAGATCGCATTTGAAAAGAAAATCAAACATTTCTGTTCTAAAAATCTCTCGAGTGAGTGAAAAGTAGTTCCTTTAGCCCGGTTCGGCTCCCGCTCCATATTCAACATTCACATTCATGCACAGATGCACAAAAAAAAAAAAAAAAACATCCATCTGTTAGGGAAGGCGATTCCAACTACATGCCTGTTTTTCCGCCTGACTTGGCCCTTCCCGGTGATCGATGTAGTTGCCCAGTGAAGGCATCCTGCCAGACTTGACAAACAGCCTCGTGCCCTGCTGGCCTTTCACCAACCTCTTCTCTTAAATCTGACTCACTTTAACTCTCTATGCATACTTTTCACTTGATGAAATATGCAAAAAAAAAAAAAAAAAAAAAACCCATCAAGGAATTTTTTTTTTTAAACTGTTTCCTGGATAGACAATAAAAAATGTCAGAGAGCAGTCTGAAAACCTGTGATAAACTGTATATTACATTTAATGCATTCAGTTTAAAGCACTAATATTTTATTAATCTTATTCTCTGTTTTTTTGTTTGTTTTTTTCTCCATGCTAACGTGCGGCCTTGTTCTTCCACCTCCAGACTCTAATGCAGGTGAGTTTGTAACCTTACCAAAAATAAAGGTCCAATTAGAAACTTTTATATCTAATAAAAGCGTTCTGGTTCGGCCTCAACAGTGAGGACGTCTACTCTAACCGGTTTGAGGATAATATCTGTAAATCTAGATGAAAATGGAAGTGTCCAGCATCTTTTAGCCCTTATTTTGTTCCAGCTTGTCTCAGTTGATTATTTTGAAGTGAAGCATTTTGGTGCTTCCAGATAGCATTGTCCCTCACCAAGGGGCAGGATGATCTGGGCTGTGCTCTGGTTTGAGATGCCGTCCTCAGTTAAGCTACAGGTTTGGTAATTATGGTGCCAGAAAGGTCGATTTGTTGCCAGCGATTGTGGAGATGTGAGCCCACGCGATGCCAGCCTGCCTCCGCTCCCTCCTTCATCCGCTGCCAGCTCCGGCCAAAGTCAACAGATGGCATCATGAGGCGCAGCAGGGCGCTGAATGTGAGGCCGAGTGGTACAGACAGAAGACAAGCAGATAAAGGGAGATTAGGGCTCGACGCCAGCTGAGTGTGATGGAGAACGAAGCTGTGAGGAAGAGGGCGTCTCCGGTTAGCGCCTCCCCGCTAAAGTGGCTGCTTCTGTAAAGGCCTCGTATTGTCTGTCGAAGGGAAGTGCGAGCCAAACGGCATTAACGTAAAAATGTTTTTGCACAACAGATGTTTTGACAGATCGCCTCCCCTTTTGTCACACTTTTCCTTCAATAATATGCAAATGCGCTGCAGCCTGAGGCACAGTCATGAAGCAGCGGATTTTTTTGAATTATAGATGCTGACGTTCTTTATTAATAGGTCTCTAAGTTACTTCAGATCAGACGAAAAAAAAAAGATTCATTGGGGAGTAAAGTTAAATGTGAATGTTTGTTCACCCTCTGGAAAATGGAGAAAATATGAAAGTTTCTTGTGGTATTTTCCAAGACTGGAGGAGGATAGAAAAAATAAACTAGATTTGTTTTCTTCCTTCCTTTTCACTTCCCTCCTTCAGGATCATTTTTACTTTCCTCTCTTATATCCTTCCCTCCTTTCCCAGTTCCCTTCCTTTCTTTTTTCCCTCTTTCCTTCTTTGCTCCCTGACTGCCTTCCTTCCTACCTTCCTTCTTTCTTTTTTCCCTGCAGAAAATACATTTCTGTTTGCACGGTTGAAATCTGTCAAACTCTGTGTTCTCAGGGTTTTTTTTATAAGTCTTGTCTCTCTCTATAGATACTCAGATACTCTTTCAGTTTAATGCCCAGTTTCTATGTGAGCAGGACTTTATTGTGTCTCTCAAGGGAACCGATTCTTCACCCTTCCTCCTCCCCCATTTTTTTTTTTTTACCAGTAGAAGATTCTGGATCAGAGAAATGTTAACTGAAATAAACACAAAAGATTAAAAAGTCATTCACGCGCCGAAGAGTAAAAGTCTTCTGGACGAAGTTTGTGGCAGTTTAAGCTCGAATCTGAAGCTGCATGTGAATCTAGTAGTTTTATTCTGAATCCTGACGCAGCAGAGAATCGCTTTGAAATGCAGCCTTTTTGCTTACAGGTATTTCAACTCATGGAGGCATTTAATTGGACGGTTGTGTCACATTGCTAATGTCCTTTAGTGTTACTGTGATTGTGACACAGTAACACTGTGATTCTTCTGCTGCAGCAGCTTTTACATAACACCTCAGAAAACAGCAGAAGGTGCTTATTAGTGTGGTGCGCTTTAATTAAGTTGTAATGACTGGCATGGATGTCAGTGAATAAGAACAGCTTCTTATTCGCCGTCACTCAGACACACCTGTTAACTGCAGCGCATGCAAAAACACAAAATCTTGCCAAGTATTCTTGGTCCAGCTTCTTGTGCGAATACGTCGGTGCACTTGAAATACGACAAAACTAGTTCACAAGTAACCTTTCGGCAAGATGAGGGAGTTTGTTTTAAATCAACAATTCTTTAATATTGATGGATTAAAAAGTGCTGGTTACACATCTGCCAGTAGAACATATTTTTCCCATAAGTTAAAGAATAGTTAAACAATCTCCTATGTCATGCTGAAAAGTTATTTGTGAATTAGTTTTGTCTTATTTCAAGTGTACTGAGATATTTACACGTGCACCTTTCAGACTGGATAAAAAGTGTTTATGATTTTGGACTTGAAACTCGACCAAAATCAAAATATCATGTGTTTTTGCTGAGTATCTAAGTACCAAAATTAAAGTAGACTCTATCAAAGCTCCTATGGGGACGCATTCAATATGCACAACTCGGCCTCGGTGTTGTTAAACTGGCTGGATTCTGCAAACTAAATGGGTTTCGCTCTGTAGGGCCCCTGGTTCTGCAGCCTCTTTCCCTCCAGGCACTTTACGCTCCAGATTCTTGCAGGGCCTCGGCTGATTTAAGGTGGGAAGAGGGGGTCTCGTCCTGGTGCTTGGGGAGCAATAATATCAGCTTGATTTAACAGCAACAGTTTTCAGAGCTGCAGACAGATGGAAAGCCGACTCCCCTCAGCGCACACCGGGCCTGGGGATTGTTGCGAGGGTTAGAGGGGAGCTTTAAATTGTGCTGCGGGGCGGAGAGGAGAAACGGGACACGCAGCAGAGAACACCACGCTTCCCCCTCCTTTTTACCCGCTGCAGTAAAATGACACGTTTGATCTCTCTCTGGACGGGGTCAGCGGGGCACGAGTGTGGCAGCTGTATGGTAATGAGCTCCCGCTCCGCAGCCACGCGGCGAAGGCTGCTAGTCTGCTGGCAGGTGGCGCAGTGTGAAGGAACGGCACGAGCGTGCTGCTGTCGCCTGACAGACTTTCATCTGGACTTGTGTGGGCTGGCACGCCTGACCGCTGCGTCCTTCAGGATACACACAGACGTTTGTCGCTCTGCTTATATTAGGTGACTTTGTTGCTGCTCATAATGTTGTTAGATGTCAGTTTGGCGAAAATGAAGATATTTGGCAGGCTGGACTTTTTGCTGGTGAGGATCATTTCTGATTCTTTGTTTTCGCTTGTTGCACTTTCGTTGCTCTGCATGACGATGCACCTGAGGTTTTCCAGTCATGCTCGGCTGAGAATTTAGTATTTAAACTAATTTTTCTGTCATGTTTTTGCACGTCCCTCTGATTGTGAATGGGAAACAGAGGAAAGTGTATGTTTTGATGGTGGTTTTATGTAGATATAAAACCTTCGGTTGCTTTTCTCTGCGGTTGCCTTTCGGTATGTGCCGTGCTTTTCCAAAAATGTTGGTACCTTTTGAACTTTTTCAAATTTCAGGACTGTAGAACCACAAACCTCAGGAAAATAATCCATGGTTTTCTAAACGTTCTAAACTTATTCAGCATCTTTGAGTCATTGCTTTGTAGAACCAGCTTCTGTTGCAAGTGTTTTGGGGTATTTCTCCAGCAGCCTGACACGTGAAGAAGTTTTTTTGGCCATTCATTTTCTTAATTCCTGCAAATATACTGCATCTGGCCATATTGGATGAAAAGTGTTTAAGACCTGCAGTTTTCATGTATTTGCCACAGATTCACATTTAGATTTAGGTCTGGACTTTGACTAGGCCTTTCTATCATCTGAAAATGATTTGATCTAAGCCATTAGGAAGGCGAACCATCCCTTCTTATAACAGAGTTCTCTTTCTTTCTTCTATTTGGCAGAATAAAAACATCCTCACAGCATAATGCTGCCACCACTACCTCAGACAGTGAGGATGGTGCATTCAGGGTGGTGTGCAGTGTTGGTGTTCTGCTGTACATTGTGTTTTACCTGAAAGCTTCTTCTGAGATTAAATCACAGACATTAATTTTTTAGTAATCAAGTGACTTCTGAAGGCCTTTGGTTGTGCTGCATTATATTATGAAGACAGGATTCCAAGACATGCTACAGTTATTTTGGAAGCCATGTATTGTATCATTTTTCATTCGATTAGCAATTATGTACTGTTCTATCATATAAAATCCCCCAAAAAGCATGCACTGTAGGTCGTTGTGGTAGCAGGACAAATGTGGAAAATATCTAGGAGTGCGAATACTTTTGCAAGACACTACACTCATTGCCCTTGAGAATTGTACACAGCCTATTATACTACCAAATGCCTCAACAAAACGACAAATATTACATTGCCTTCCCCATTTGAGCCTTGATTTTTGGTGCTGATTAAAATCAATCAACTGGAGTTGATACTTTTGTGGACACTTTTGTGTATGCGTGTGTTTCTGTGTGTGTGTGCCCAACCTGCCATATGCTCAGTGTTGCCTTACCGGTGAACAGAAGCTGTCTAACCGGAGTGAAACATAATCACAGTCAATGTAAAATGATAGCATGTTTTTTATTTATTTTTATTTTTTTTAACCACACTCAGCAACTGTCATCTGTTTCTCAGACCTTTGTAAAGACACATAAAAGTTTTTAGCAGAGCTCCAGATGTGATCCTTGCCATGCCGCCGCTATCTGCTGTAATTTGATTCAGACAGGCTGCACAACAATATCACCACTGTATGCAGTAGTGTGAATCTGAGAGTTTAAACCTGCAGTTTTCCACGGTTTAAACATCCTGGCTGAGAAAGTGACTCACTGACCTCATGAGAGACTTTGTTTTACTACTGATCACCAATCTAATTGAAGCTCGATGGGGAAAGGAAAAAAAAGTCAGACCTCAACATTTTTTTCCGCATGTTCCATCTGCAGGATTTTTCCTACGATGATCCCAAGCTTGAATTCAATGTGGACGCACCCAATGGGGTCGTCATGGAGGGCTATCTGTTCAAGAGAGCCAGCAATGCTTTCAAGACTTGGAACAGGTGAGGAACCAAACAACACAATACGACACTTGTGAATATCTGCAGTCATGGCTCTATAATAGTTTGGAAAATAATATTTTTAGACTTTAATCACTTTAAGATTGTCTGAATGTTGGGTCCTTCCTTGGTTCCTGCCTTCCTTTCCTCCTATGTTCTTTTAGTTTTCCCTTCTGTGTCCATTAATTTTTGTGCGTCCTTTCTTCACTTTGTCTTTCTATCATTTCGTTCCTTCATTACATGGCAAATTTCTCTCTGTGTTCTTTCTTATTTGTGTGCTTTCTACCTAGTGGACTTCCATCATTATGTTCTTCTTTTGTTTCATTTCTGTCTTTTCTTTGATGTTTACTTTTTGCTTCTGTCCTTTCTTTCTTTGACTTTTAAATGTTCAATTTTCACTGTGAAATGATATATATAAAAAACTGATAACTTTGAAAATCTACTTCTTTTTTTTTATTTAAGTGGAAAATCACATTTGTTGCATTTTACTTCCATCAGGCGGTGGTTTTCAATCCAAAACAGCCAGCTGGTCTACCAAAAAAAACTCAAGGTAAAAGTAGCTTTTTTGCTCTTGATCTAGTTTCATTTTTTTTTTTTTAAATAATATTTCCCTTGCACAACAAAACCAATAGTTTGCTTCCAGAAATTCATTTTTATTAGTCATTTGGCAAGGAATGAAGGATCCCATCACCGACTTGCTTGAGAAGTCGAACCCGCTCTCTGCCGTCTGTGGTTTCTGTGATACTCTTTTCCTCCGCCAACAGGATTCTCTGACGGTGGTGGTTGAGGATCTGAGGCTGTGCTCAGTCAAACCATGTGAAGATAATGAGAGGAGATTCTGCTTTGAGGTGGTTTCGCCCACAAAGTAAGTGTGTTGGTGTGTGTCAAACAAAAGCAGTTCTCTGTGGTATAAACACAGCTGGTGCTGCTTTGGTTCCCTTTCTGCTCTTAATTAGCTTTCCATTAAGATTAAGCTAATTAACTTTGATGCTAATGCGCACAAGGACCCAAAACAATATGCTTTCCAGTCATTACATAAAAAGGAAATGTAATGTGGGAGAAGCAACAGCGTAATAAGAAGTTTTAGAAGCGAACCAAGAACAAATCGGTGGGACTTGTCGTTTGCTTTTCGTACGGCACTATGTGTCTCACAATTTGTCTCATTTAGTGAGATAATTAAGCAGTTTATTCCTGTAGCTTCTGCTACAGATCAAAAACACGGTGGCCATTTTGGATTTTGAGGCTGTGGTTTATGAAAAACTTGGGATTCTAACTTTAAGGTGTCCTCTACGTTATTCTAAGCTAAAAGTTGAACAAACATCTGAGTGAAACTATACAGAGTTAATCCTTCATCAGTCCATGTCCTTCAACATGCCGTGCCAAACGGATATTCATATAATTATTCGGTTACACTTTATGTGCAGACTTACATGACTCTGTCATTAACACCTGTCACGAATAAAGTGTTTATGACAGTTGTCATTAAGTGTCATTTGGTAAATAATGACAGAAGTTGAAACTTTAAATACAACTTTGCATTAAATCTTGCAGCCTTATACGCAGCCCGTCAAAGTATTACCGTTTAGTTCTTTTTACTTTCTTTTTTTTTATTGGCTTCATGAGAAACAAAACAAATTGCCTTCTCAATGAGGTGATCCTTAAAAATAGTTTTAATTAGGTGATATTTGGGGCCAAAATATCAACCACTGTGAGTCAAGCATAAACTATTTACTAATTTTTTTTTTTTTTTTTTCATATTTCTTTACTACAGAGGTAATTGTCTCATAGCAGGCTGTGACATGATTTAAATGGGCTATTACTATTTACACCAATCAAATGACGCGTGTTTTATGATTTGGCGTTTGCAGGAGCTGCATGATGCAAGCAGAGTCTGAGAAGCTGCGGCAAGCTTGGATCCAGGCGGTCCAGGCAAGCATCGCTTCTGCATACAAAGACATCGGCGACAACTATTACATTGAGGTACAGCCTGGAATCAGAGAGCAACCAAATACAAAAAAAAAAAAAATCTGTTTATTTCAAATCGTTTCTGGAATGTAAGCAAATCTGAACATCTGCCTCGTTCTGCAAGCGTTTGGACCGGACGGCTTCACCGTCCACCAGCAGCATCGACTCTGCCAGCGACTCTGCCCGGGACAGGGGGGAGAGGGCGGACAAGGCGTGCCGGGGCGGCGGAGACAGTCTCCTGCAGCGGGTGCAGAGCCTGCCGGGCAACGAGCTGTGCAGCGACTGTGGCCAGGCGGCTCCGTGCTGGGCCTCCATCAACCTGGGCGTGCTGCTTTGCATTGAGTGCTCGGGGATCCACAGGTATTTGCATGTTTGAGGAATCTTACATTTGCATGTCGACATATTCTAAAACCAGCTTTTCCAGTTTGCCGTTGCTTTTCCGAATTCTTCCTCAAACATTAAACTGTTTGAGGAAAATATTTTTAGATCACATGATGGGAAGACAAATCTTTACAGATATCCTGTGTTGTTTTAGTCTGCTTTATTTTACCCTCCATAAAAAATAAAAATGCTTAAGTGTCATAACTTAGCACTTTAATTTACCAACATTTCACTTGTTAAAGCACAGCGGCGTTATGGTACTTAATCGAATATATTTTATTAAAGATAATGAACTAGGGCACACTGTTGCAATCTACAGTTTTCAGGAGCAGTAACTGCGTTTCAAAAAACTTTCATCCGTGTTAAATATAAAAACTGAGATTTTCACAAAGATTCTCTCAGAGTGTGTTCAATCTCTAAAGGACTTTGACATATGCCGATAAATAAATAAATAATGGGATAAGTTAAGAATATAGAAAGAAAAACTTTATTCGTTTTTATTCCATCTCTTTCCCTTTTTCTGTTTTCAGGAGTTTAGGCGTCCATTTCTCTAAAGTGCGCTCGCTGACGTTGGACTCGTGGGAGCCAGAATTACTCAAGGTGCATCTCTCTCACCAGTTTCCCCGCAGCCCGTTCTGCATGTGCAGCATTCTTTCTTCCCAGTGGTGTTGCAATATTAATTGGCCCCAGCAGATTGCCACACTGCTACATTTTTAATTACTCCTTTTAAACTTACTTCCTGTCTGGTTTTCAACTTTGCCCCCCTCCACCCCCCCATGTTTTTCTCTCTTTGCATGCAGCTCATGTGTGAGTTGGGAAACACTGTGATCAACAACATTTATGAGGGAGCCTGCGAGGAACTGGGAGTTAAAAAACCAGGACCGTCTAGCTCCAGGTAAAGCCAGCTCCAGCGAGGAAGTTTGACTGGAAAATTAGAATGAACACTTATTTTGTTGATGCATATTTTTTGGTCACGATTTTCTGACCTGATACAGATGGTCGTGGAAGACCAAGGAGGTTCCCGTACCGTACTCCAGTTCAAAAAATCATTAAAATCTGTGCTGTGTATTGGTAATAATACAACTAGTGGTTCAGATTTCAGTATTTTCAGCTCTTTGTCCTGCTTGTCTGATTGTCTCCGGTTGCAAATATCTGACCGTAGAGCACTAAAAGTCCACAAAACTTTTTTTTTTTTTCTGTTTATTTTCATACACTTAAAATAATAGCAACGTGTCACTGTGCGTCAAAGGAAGACGTAAAGATGACATGTTGATATAAAATAAATCTGAAAGTTTTACTGTGAGCCCGAGATGATACTTACTCGTCTCCCTCTAGGCAGGAGAAAGAGGCCTGGATCAAGTTTAAATATGTTGAGAAACGCTTCCTGAAAAAGCTGAGTGGGAGTGAGGCGCTGGTGGAGGGAGAGAGGAAGTCCCGCCCCTGGATGGTGAAGAAATGCCAGCGACACAGCAGCTCTGTGCGGGCCCCCAACAAGGCCCGCAGGAAGTACCACCGCTACGAGCCTGGCAGCGCCTCACCCGCCAACCTCACAGCAGGTCGGTGAAGAGGTTCAAATATCCGTCATCATCACAAGCATAAAAAGCAAAACCCTATCCATTTTTCAACTGTTTTTTTTTTTTTTTTTTTTTTTTCTCCGCCCGCCCCACCAAAATTTGAACGGGCCTTCCTTCTTTCCCCCCCTGCTGTGGGCTCC